AAAGAGACAAATGCAGTCATGATATTAGAATTGATCCTGGGGTCTGACCACAACCGTAGGGACCTAGTTTCTGCGTCACAGCTTGGAAACAGTTGAGATCCCCACCCCATAACCATACATAAAATTGCTGGGCATGAAAAATTGAATACAGATATATATGCTACAAGGATTGGCCTTGGGGTCTGGCATATTCCCTTGGATCTCATTTGGAGAATATTCTGCCATGATTGCTTAGATATCAAGGTGAGCGATACAGGCCCTATGGGCCTCTTGTTCTTTCTTGGACACTTTTTTGAAATTATATTTTCAATAGATTCACTGCTTTAAACCGTTCGGATTTAAAGTCATTTGTAATGTGTGTGACATTTGTAATTGACATTTGTAATGTGTGTGACATTTGAAACGTGTGTGACATTTGTAATTGACATTTGTAATGTGCGTGACATATTTGTAATTGACATTTGTAATGTGTGTGACATTTGTAATGTGTGTGACCTTCTTAAGTAAACTCTAAATTATCTAGAGATCATATCTACATAAACAAAACTATTCCATTTGTAATGTGTGTGACATTTGAAATTGACATTTGTAATGTGTGTGACCTTCTTAAGTAAACCCTAAATTATCTAGAGATCATATCTACATAAACAAAACTATTCCATTTGTTGAGTCCAGTAAGTATTCATTTTTATCAAAAAAATGTCTGTAAACATAAATTTATAAATTCTTCAACCAATGCTTTTCTGAGATACATAAATAATGATATTAATTTTACTATTATGGAGTATTGTTTAAAACTAACATGCAGAATTTTTGACAGACAGATACATCATAAGATTCCTTAAATAACAGTCATGATAGTTAGGACAGGAATGTGTGTGTACATGGAGGCTTGAACAACATGTCTTGTAGTGTTATTTGTGAATCCTGTGGTGTTTGGTCTCATTCTGTTCTCTACTGTGTAGTTGTGCAGACAATGGAGGTTTCTCTCCCTTGTGGTAAGTCTTCTGTCTCCATCTCAAGCTTACTCGGGACCTTGATGCCTGTTTGTAAACAGAATTTTCATTGGTCAAAAGAACAGCTATTTGGAAAACCAAATTGATTGGTTAATGATTTTTCTTATTTGTAAATTAATTAATTTATCTCTGAAAAAAGAGGGAAAATATTATGATTACTTAGATAAGATTATCATGCAGAAAAACCTGTAATGTCTCATTGTCAGATGATGATATGGTCAATTAAATTCTAGTACAATTATACTGACAATGTTAACAAATCATTTTCTGTTTACAAAATCACTCTGGCTAAACAGAAGGTCCGGTATTCCAGACTTTATTCTTCTTGTGCACAAACATGCATCACTAGTAATTACTTAGTGTCACCCTGTATATACAACTTTGACTGACCCTGTCAGTGGGCAGAAGAGTCGGTTGTATACACAGAGGGGTGTTGGGATCATATATTGTACAGTTTGTCATAGGTACTTTATTTTGAATTGTATAATATAGTTACAGATTTCTTTTATAAAGATTTGACACAAATAATGAAATCTAGATTTAGCTCATTTCTATTTTAGAGTTATTTCCCTTGTATATACAATGTACCAAGTATCCCTGAGAGGTAGTCTTTAAAAATATTTTTATATAGCCTTACTTTTTTATATATATATATATATTTTAGACTAATTTTGTATTTGATATACCATTGATTTTGTATTTGATGACTTAATTAAATGAAAATAGTTGTTTAAAGTTGTTTTCTTATAGATTATGTAATACTTTAAAGATAAAAATAGAAAAATTAAAAAGGGGAAAAAAATGTGAAATTTTGGGTGGATTTGCAGATTATTTGCATGAAACTGGTGATGCTGGTTGCCGCTTTCTCTTCGTTTATCAATTGTTTCATCTCTCTATCTTAATTGTCTCAATAACTTCACAACTTGCCACGATTTGTTGTGAAGCGATCTTTTTCAGACACAAAAGATTGGTGTTACACAGTAACAATTGTAACAGTGATTTGTTTCGACAAATTTAAAGGTTTTTAGTCAAATATTTCAAAATCGTAAAAAAATATTAAACCTGCCTACAATGCACTGTTACATATGGAATATTAATATTGGTAAGAGCCAGTCACAGTCATATGCTTTATATAAATATTTATGCATGCAAGGTTGAGGAAAATACAATGTCTTTTTTAATACCTTTTAATTGACTTTTAATTAACACATGCTTTATACTTGTGATAATACAATATCTATAATAAAACAATATACACCATAATAAAATATATGTGTATAAGTAACTCATGTTGTATACTCTTTGTAATCAGAATATTACAATATTATACACTATAAAGATATTATATGTATAACCAAGTTAATTGTTTCATTTTCAGAGATGACATAAAAGTTTGGAGAAATTGAAATTCATAGTTATGATATTAAGGATACATAATGTGATGTTTGGTTTTTCTACCAAACATACGCTGACATACAGGGGTGCCCCACATTAGAAACCCCTTACAATACCATACAGGGGCCCCCTATACTAGAAACCCCTTACAATACCAAACAGGGGCCCCCTACATAAGAAACCCCTTACAATACCATACAGGGGCCCCCTACATTAGAAACCCCTTACAATAACAAACAGGGGCCCCCTATACTAGAAACACCTTACAATACCATACAGGGGCCCTCTACATTAGAAACCCCTTACAATAACATACAGGGCCCCCCACATTAGAAACCCCTTACAATAACATACAGGGGGCCCTATACTAGAAACCCCTTATAATACCATACAGGGGCCCCCTATACTAGAAACACCTTAAAATACCATACAGGGGCCCTCTACATTAGAAACCCCTTACAATAACATACAGGGGGCCCTATACTAGAAACCCCTTACAATACCATAAAAGGGCCCCCTATACTAGAAACCCCTTACAATACCATAAAGGGGCCCCCCTATACTAGAAACCCCTTACAATACCATAAAGGGGCCCCCTATACTAGAAACCCATTACAATACCATAAAGGGCCCCCCCCCCCCTATACTAGAAACCCCTTACAATACCATAAAGGGGGCCCCTATACTAGAAACCCCTTACAATAACATACAGGGGGCCCCTACATCAGAAACGCCTAACAATAATATACAGGGGCCCCCTATACTAGAAACCCCTTACAATACCATACAGGGGCCCCCACATTAGAAGCCCCTTACAATAACATACAGGGGCCCCTATACTAGAAACCCCTTAAAGTACCATACAGGGGCCCCCCTATACTAGAAACCCCTTACAATAACATACAGGGACCCCCTATACTAGAAACCCCTTACAAAACCATACAGGGGGCCCCCTATACTAGAAACCCCTTACAATACCATAAAGGGGCCCCCTATACTAGAAACCCCCTACAATACCTTACAGGGGCCCCCAACATTAGAAGCCCCTTATAATACCATACAGGGGCCCCCTATACTAGAAACCCATTACAATAACATACAGGGGCCCCCTATACTAGAAACCCCTTACAATAACATACAGGGGCCCCCACAATAAATTAACATTATGATAACATACAGGGGGCCCACAATACATTGACATAATGATAACATACAGGGGGCCCCACAATTAATTAACATTATGATAACATACAGGGGGCCCCACAATAAAGTAACATTATGATAACATACAGGGGGCCCATAATAAAGTTACATTATGATAACATACAGGGGGCCCACAATAAATTAACATTATCATAACATACAGGGGGCCCACAATTAATTAACATTATGATAACATACAGGGGGCCCACGATACATTGACATAATGATAACATACAGGGGGCCCCACAATAAAGTTACCTTATGATAACATACAGGGGGCCCCACAATTAATTAACATTATGATAACATACAGGGGGCCCACACTACATTGACATAATGATAACATACAGGGGGCCCCACAATAAAGTAACATTATGATAACATACAGGGGGCCCACAATACATTGACATAATGATAACATACAGGGGGCCCACAATAAAGTTACATTATGATAACATACAGGGGGCCCCACAATAAAGTTACATTATGATAACATACAGGGGGCCCACAATAAATTAACATTATGATAACATACAGGGGGCCCACAATAAATTAACATTATGATACATACAGGGGGACGCTGGTCTCTTCTTTTTCTGACTCTGTAAGGGTACAACTGTAGGTAATCAGTGTTGTGTTAATTCCTAACTGTTATATATACTAAGGTTCATTACTGAAAATTGAAATACACCTATGATAAAACTGTTTTGAATGGCAAATGAAGTTATGTTTGAGGAATATTTTTAAACTAGTCTGTAGTATGTGTATGATGTAAAAGATACCAATCTCTGTTACATAAGCAACACTTTGTAGGTTTTCTAGCATCAGGTTTAAATGTATAGACTCAGTTAGCTTCAGGTTTAAATGTATAGACTCAATAAGCTTCTGGTTTAAATGTGTAGACTCAGTAAGCTTCAGGTTTAAATGTATAGACTCAGTTTGTATCAGGTTTAAATGTATAGACTCAGTTAGCTTCAGGTTTAAATGTATAGACTCAGTAAGCTTCAGGTTTAAATGTATAGACTCAGTTTGGATCAGGTTTAAATGTATAGACTCAGTTAGCTTTAGGTTTAAATGTATAGACTAAGTTAGCTTCAGGTTTAAATGTATAGACTCAGTTAGCTTTAGGTTTAAATGGATAGACTCAGTTAGCTTCAGGTTTAAATGTATACACTCAGTAAGCTTCAGGTTTAAATGTATAGACTCAGTTAGCTTCAGTTTTAAATGTATAGACTCAGTTAGTATCAGGTTTAAATGGATAGACTCAGTTAGCCTTAGGTTTAAATGTATAGACTCAGTTAGCTTCAGGTTTAAATGTATAGACTTAGTTAAGCATCAGGTTTAAATGTATAGACTCAGTTAGCTTCAGGTTTAAATGTATAGACTCAGTAAGCTTCAGGTTTAAATGTATAGACTCAGTATCAGGTTTAAATGTATAGACTCAGTTAGCTTCAGGTTTAAATGTATAGACTCAGTTAAGCATCATGTTTAAATGTATAGACTCAGTTAGTATCAGGTTTAAATGTATAGACTCAGTTAGTATCAGGTTTAAATGTATAGACTCAGTTAGTATCAGGTTTAAATGTATAGACTCAGTTAGTATCAGGTTTAAATGTATAGACTCAGTTAGTATCAGGTTTAAATGTATAGACTCAGTTAGTATCAGGTTTAAATGTATAGACTCAGTTAGTATCAGGTTTAAATGTATAGACTCAGTTAGTATCAGGTTTAAATGTATAGACTCAGTTAGTATCAGGTTTAAATGTATAGACTCAGTTAGTATCAGGTTTAAATGTATAGACTCAGTTAGTATCAGGTTTAAATGTATAGACTCAGTTAGTATCAGGTTTAAATGTATAGACTCAGTTAGTATCAGGTTTAAATGTATAGACTCAGTTAGGTATCAGTATCAGTAGTAAAAGTTTGATGTGATTTATCTCCTGTGATGTTCTGTTTCTGAATCTGTCGCCTGATCTGTATGATACATATGTTGGCTAGCAGCTGTGTACAGCTTACCTATATATATCTCGTTAGCCATACCTCAGGTGTGAAATATTTTTCCAATATATACTAGGAACATAAATCACATTATCCTTCAGTATATACGACAGCCCTGGACGTTTAAGTCTCTCGGTAGATTTAAATCTGACAAACAGACTGACTTTTCAATTTTGCTAAGTCAGCCGTGACCGAGATTTAAGCTTATAAGACAAGATTGTACCTGATTTGAGAACATTTCTGTATCCACTCCTCAGAAGTTTATCCTGAACTGGGATATGATTTCCTATGACTTTATTCTCTTTAAATGGCCAAGTTTGTGAATTTTTTCGGTTCTGTCTTTCACAAAGGGTCAGAGCAGTCGAGGACAACATACATCCAGAATCTTAACCAGAAGCTCAGCGATGAACACCGCAAACTTCTCGAGGTAAGTCAAAAAACTTAATCCGCACATTTAAAGAATAGTTCACCTGTAATCATTGACTGGACAGTGGTCAAGCAGATCATGTACGGTATTCTATTTAAGCACAGGATGACCAGCGTTTTAAGAAACCTAATCTTTTGTTATTGGGACATTAAAAGCCGTGTGGTTTGGTATGATTCACAAAGTGGCGATTTTTCTTGAGAATCAAAGTTTAGATGGGAAACACTGAGGCAAAGGTAAGAATCAAACTATAAAGAAGTTATTTTATTGATGGAATGTGAGTTAAAATTAGTAATACATTTTTGACTGTTGGTTGGGGATATTTCAGAATCAATTGTTTCCCTCTCAAGTTTTTATATTTCAGACATGCAAATGTGTAGACAGTTTTGAAAGTCTGATGCACCTGTAGTTGTGAGGTAGTTGGATATATATTTTTAGCTTATGCTCTAATAGTGTGAGTTCCGGAAGTGTTCATTCTCACACAGACAATCTGTAGACTCACAGATCTGTAATTGATTCTGATGAGAGTTGGTACTTATATATATTTTCACATTTTATTCTGCAGAAAATTTCGGAAGATCTTGAAAAGGGTGCAGAGATCAGACGGCACACTCCAAAAAAGAAACGGAAATCTGGAGCCGTAGCCACAGAGTCTGAAGACGGGGGGGACACTGAAACAGAGAGCATCCACTCCATGCCTGTCACTGGGGAGGAATACCAACAGGTGGAAGAGCGAGAAAAGGTGTTGGATAGGGTGGAAGGTAAATAAATGTAACTGCCATGGTCATAACCGACTTAATAGTGCATATATACTATGAGCACATATAAATGATGAATATTTGTCTTTGATTTCTTCCGACTTGTCTTACTTTCAGTTATATGCTGCCTTATTTTTCTATTCCTCTGATTTGTGTTAGAGTTGTCTTTCTTTAAAATTATTAATGAAAATTATCTGATACTTCAAAATTACCTGTGCATTATGAACTTATTTATGAAAGTTGTCATCAATTTCTGAACCACTGGACACAATTTTAGAGACTCCTTTTCCAGTTGCCTGGTGTATTGAAGAATTTTTTTAAGTCTTCCTTCCCTACCGTTTGATATACTGGGCAGGATTGACGACACTCCATTTCCCAGAGACTAGTAAACTGAACAATCTTTAAACGTCTGCCTTTCCCATTTTCACACATACGGTACCGGATGTGATTTTAGACACTCCCTTCCCTGGCGATTAAGATTTTAAGGACACTTTACTGAGTATCTTGTAAAATTGTAAATATTAAAATCCATAAAAGAAAACACCAGTATATGGTTTAAAGTTTTCCGCTTAAATTAAAAAAAAAAAAATTAAAGTTGTTGACTGAAGAATGCGTAATGTCAGCAGTCTTTCCTTTTTAGTTATTTATGAAGTCTTTATTGTAAACATGTAAAAATGTTCCTTCTTAAATCAAAAACATTGTGATATTCAATCTGTTTAGTCTTGAATTGTAATCAGGGAAATTAATGTTGAAAGAAATGAATTTTCAGGTGTGAACAAGATTATTTATTATGTTTAAATAGTGTTTGCCATGTTTGACATTTAAATTGAAAATACACCTTGAGTGTTTCTGTCAAATATATTTTAGAACAATTTATTATGTGAATCTGTTTGAACTATTGACTCCTGTGGTAGTTTTACATTTAATTTCTTATTAAGTTATCACCTTTGAGAGAAGTTCCACCTGTAAGGTAGTGTGATTACAGACCACACAATGTTTACAGTGTAAGGTAGTGTGATTACAGACCACACAATGTTTACAGTCTAAGGTAGTGTGATTACAGACCAAACAATGTTTACAGTCTAAGGTAGTGTGATTACAGACCAAACAATGTTTACAGTCTAAGGTAGTGTGATTACAGACCAAACAATGTTTACAGTCTAAGGTAGTGTGATTACAGACCAAACAATGTTTACAGTCTAAGGTAGTGTGATTACAGACCAAACAATGTTTACAGTCTAAGGTAGTGTGATTACAGACCAAACAATGTTTACAGTCTAAGGTAGTGTGATTACAGACCAAACAATGTTTACAGTCTAAGGTAGTGTGATTACAGACCAAACAATGTTTACAGTCTAAGGTAGTGTGATTACAGACCAAACAATGTTTACAGTCTAAGGTAGTGTGATTACAGACCAAACAATGTTTACAGTGTAAGGTAGTGTGATTACAGACCAAACAATGTTTACAGTGTAAGGTAGTGTGATTACAGACCAAACAATGTTTACAGTGTAAGGTAGTGTGATTACAGACCAAACAATGTTTACAGTGTAAGGTAGTGTGATTACAGACCAAACAATGTTTACAGTGTAAGGTAGTGTGATTACAGACCAAACAATGTTTACAGTGTAAGGTAGTGTGATTACAGACCAAACAATGTTTACAGTGTAAGGTAGTGTGATTACAGACCAAACAATGTTTACAGTGTAAGGTAGTGTGATTACAGACCAAACAATGTTTACAGTGTAAGGTAGTGTGATTACAGACCAAACAATGTTTACAGTGTAAGGTAGTGTGATTACAGACCAAACAATGTTTACAGTGTAAGGTAGTGTGATTACAGACCAAACAATGTTTACAGTGTAAGGTAGTGTGATTACAGACCAAACAATGTTTACAGTGTAAGGTAGTGTGATTACAGACCAAACAATGTTTACAGTGTAAGGTAGTGTGATTACAGACCAAACAATGTTTACAGTGTAAGGTAGTGTGATTACAGACCAAACAATGTTTACAGTGTAAGGTAGTGTGATTACAGACCAAACAATGTTTACAGTGTAAGGTAGTGTGATTACAGACCAAACAATGTTTACAGTGTAAGGTAGTGTGATTACAGACCAAACAATGTTTACAGTGTAAGGTAGTGTGATTACAGACCAAACAATGTTTACAGTGTAAGGTAGTGTGATTACAGACCAAACAATGTTTACAGTGTAAGGTAGTGTGATTACAGACCAAACAATGTTTACAGTGTAAGGTAGTGTGATTACAGACCAAACAATGTTTACAGTGTAAGGTAGTGTGATTACAGACCAAACAATGTTTACAGTGTAAGGTAGTGTGATTACAGACCAAACAATGTTTACAGTGTAAGGTAGTGTGATTACAGACCAAACAATGTTTACAGTGTAAGGTAGTGTGATTACAGACCAAACAATGTTTACAGTGTAAGGTAGTGTGATTACAGACCAAACAATGTTTACAGTGTAAGGTAGTGTGATTACAGACCAAACAATGTTTACAGTGTAAGGTAGTGTGATTACAGACCAAACAATGTTTACAGTGTAAGGTAGTGTGATTACAGACCAAACAATGTTTACAGTGTAAGGTAGTGTGATTACAGACCAAACAATGTTTACAGTGTAAGGTAGTGTGATTACAGACCAAACAATGTTTACAGTGTAAGGTAGTGTGATTACAGACCAAACAATGTTTACAGTCTAAAGTAGTGTGATTACAGACCAAACAATGTTTACAGTGTAAGGTAGTGTGATTACAGACCAAACAATGTTTACAGTCTATCAATGTGTCTGATTTAATAGTTCAGGTTTCTTATAGAAACTGTAACAAAAGTACTGGACTGTACAACATAATTAAACTGTTTTCATTTAGAACATGTTTTGTTTTTATGTTGGAACCAATTTCTGTGATAAAAATATAATTAATCAAACTACTTAGATATGGAAAAAACACATTTGATTTACGATTGTATTATGAATTTAAGGTTTTTTTTAATTATTATTTTGAAACTATATTTGGGAGGAGAATCTTTGAAAATTTGAACAATTTTTTTTTTGATAGATTTAAAATCAATAGATAAAAAATGAAAGTATGGTAAATGTCTGTCGTATATGTTTAAAAGAATTTATTTTTCTATTTGTATATATATTAATCCACTAACAAAATAAGTCATTGGAAAAATCTCTTTAACGGGTGGAATCAAACCAACTCATGCCAGTCATGTTGACTTTGAGAGTAATTGTGTTTTGAATTCATTCAAACATCAAGCCTGTTGTATTGGATGTATTAAAGGCATGTCGTTTACGATTGGAAGTTTGTAGAGGTGGGTACTATAGAGTATTTTTCTGATGAAAGGTTGGGGAATTGGTGATGGCTGTATAGGTACGGTTTAAAAGGAATCTTTTCATCTCTTCATTTGACTTCAGAAATGGATGTTTGTGACGATATGTCTAAAAGGACATTTAACAGAAATAGATTGCTTTGAACAGCTCACCCATGTAAACACAGCACATTAAATCGGTCAGGTGTGTTATGACATTTTAAACAAATTTAAAGTTCAGCTTCATTATGATATACCTGAAGTAATAAACTAATAGTTATTTCATTAAGAGGATATGAAAACAAGATTATACACGAGGAAATATTGTTGCTTGTGGAAGAGATATTAACGTTAATGGCCGTGTACAAAGTCTGGGCTCATGTAATTGTAGGCCAGAATACCAAAAACTTACATAAATAACTGCAGTCTGTATAAGGATCCCCGATAACAGCCAACACCTGAACCTAGGAATCGGAAACACTTTCCCCACATGACTATTAAAAAATAAAGAAAAATCAACAACAGTGTTCTGAGGATAAAGATGCAATGGTCAACATTGATACCCTACAGAGTACCCTGCCCAGTAACACTACAGAGTACCACCGGGCCCAGTCACACTACAGAGTACCGGGTCCAGTCACACTACAGAGTACCCCACCCAGTCACACTACAGAGTACCCTGCCCAGTAACACTACATAGTACCCCACCCAGTTACACTACAGAGTACCCCACCCAGTCACACTACAGAGTACCCCACCCAGTCACACTACAGAGTACCGGGCCCAGTCACACTACAGAGTACCCCGCCCAGTCACACTACATAGTACCCCACCCAGTCACACTACAGAGTACCCTGCCCAGTCACATTACAGAGTACCCCACCCAGTCACACTACAGAGTACCCCACCCAGTCACACTACAGAGTACCCCGACCAGTCACACTACAGAGTACCCCGCCAAGTCACACTACAGAGTACCCAACCCAGTCATACTACAGAGTACCCCGCCCAGTCACACTACAGAGTACCCCACCCAGTAACACTACAGAGTACCCCACTGAGTCATACTACAGAGTATCCCGCCCAGTCACACTACAGAGTACTCCACCCAGTAACACTACAGAGTTACCCACCCAGTCACACTACAGAGTACCCCACCCAGTAACACTACAGAGTACCCCACCCAGTCATACTACAGACTAACCCGCCCAGTCACACTACAGAGTACCCTGTCCAGTCACACTACAGAGTACCCCACCTAGTAACACTACAGAGTACCCCACCCAGTCACTCTACAGAGTACCCCGACCAGTCACACTACAGAGTACCCCGCCCAGTCACACTACAGAGTATCCCACCAAGTCACACTACAGAGTACTGGGTCCAGTCACACTACAGAGTTCCCCGCCCAGTCATACTACAGAGTACCCCACCAAGTCACACTACAGAGTACCCCACCCAGTCACACTACAGAGTAACCCTCCCAGTCATACTACAGAGTACCCCACCCAGTCATACTACAGAGTACTTGGTCCAGTCACACTACAGAGTACCCCGCCCAGTCACACTACAGAGTACCTCACCCAGTCATACTACAGAGTACCCCGCCCAGTCATACTACCGAGTACCCCACCCAGTCATACTACAGAGTACCCCACCCAGT